CAGTTAAAAATTTCACACACCAGCGCATGAAAGCTGAATTCGAAACCTTGAAGAGTGAATATCTTTATCCCGAGTTAATAGTTCACCCGCCAAAATTTTCACGAGGCCGTAGGTGATACTCAAGAGCGCGGAAATGCTGAATTTCAATGGGCAAGGTTGAGTGTGGGCAGGGGTCATCACCCTAAAATTTCAGCTTCCTAGACTCCGTGGTCCCCGAGACATTAATTTACCCGTAAAAAACTTACACTGCGCCGTACGTGTTACCCGCGGGTACGGGAAGGGTGAATTTGAATGGGCAAGGTTGAGCGTGTACAAGGGGGTCATTATCCTAAAATTTCAGCCTCCTAGACTCCGTGGTTCCCGAGATATTAATTTGCCTCACGGAGCCGTACTTGTTACCTGCGGGTAGGGGGAAGCTGAATTTAAATTTGCGGGGTCACACGTGGGTGGGAAAAGTTACCCTGAATTTTCAGCTTCCTAGCTTTTGTGATTCCCGAGTTGAAAGTTGAGGACAAGTTGCTGCAGATATACACACACAAAAACACACACACAGACAGACAACCCCGTGACAATATGCGCTTTGTACTGCTGTTACACAGCATAAAAAACATTAAAATAGAAAAGTAGAAATAAGATAAACAGATCTCAGGGAATATTCACAACGATGCGGCAAGTTCGGGCAACTTGCTGTATCAGTGGTGCAGCGGAAGGTGACAGTGAAAAAACAGCTGGTTAGCACTAATGTCTCATTTTAAATAAGTACATGCCTGTATCAACAGAGAGACAGAATTTCAATTCAGCTGGGGCTATGCAGCACCAAATTTCGGACGTTTTATTAACACAGTACATCAGTCCTTTTCACGTATGCAAAAAAGGCTAGCGCATCAGGTGCTTTTCAAGCAGGAACTGTGTCTCTCTGATGGGTTTTGTCAACAGTATGTCCATGTATACCAATCCTTTGTACAGGAAATACTGTTGGCTTATGTACACTGTGAAATTATGGGCTTGATATTGTGGAATTGTGGGCAAAAACTGGAAAAT